TAGTTTAAGAAATTAAGAAGCAAAGAGGTGGAATGTAAGATGTCTGTTTATTTACAAAATATCCTATCTTGCCTTGAAATTTTGTTCTTTTTTTTTTTAAGTTATAAAATCTCTGGAAATTATCCAGCTAGATTATAGCCAATGGCTATGAGCCAAAAATCAGAGAACTTTCAGACGGGAAAATGTTCATCAGAGGTTGTTACATAGCATACCGTGTAATTTATGTAGTAAAAGAATGTAACAACCTCCAATAAGCGTGTGTTACAGAGAGGTGAAGTAATTTGTCTCTGTACCATATACATGTTACTAGACATATATTACTAAGCACAGTCTCCACAAAGTCAGAAAGTGGCTGGGCTGATATATCAACCTAGGCAATTTGGCTCTAAATGTATACTCTTAACACAGCAACCATTTCTTCTTCATTGAGGGAGCTACTACATGTTGTGTTACTAAATCCAGTACCAATCTGGTTAAATTGAAAAAGATTTAAGTCTTGGTACAAGACTTTCCTAAGGAAAGTAATATTTCAAATAGCATAATGCTGGGACATACAAATATCTGAAATGTTTTCTCCTAAGTCAAGAGTCTTTGGAGGGCTTAGAGAAAGAGACAGGGAACAAGGCTGTGGTGCAGGGAACGAGTACCTAGACATACCAGGTTTCAGTGTGAAAATGCTGGTTCTTGGCGCACTCATGGCCAAAGAATGACCAGATGCACCAAAGTTACACAAGCATGAAAATTAGGTTTACCAAGGGAGAGAAAGATAGGATTATAGAGCAAGAGCAACATATAGATATACAGAGCATGATATATATGCCATGGCTGATGAGAGGGCCCATTGTCAGGGCAAAGAGATAACAAAAGGAAGGGTGCAAAAAAGGGACTAGTTGTGGTCTGTGTCTTGTTTTATAGTGCCCAGATTGGGACCTCCCTCATGGTTCAGAGGTCACCATGGAATCGCTTTGATTGGAAAGTTGGGAGTTGCATGATCTGAGTTTTACTATGCATGCAGGGTGTTCTAGGTTACTTCTGGACTCTATGATATGCTGCTTGGCCCGTGGGCTAGGGAGTCCTCTGCATTCTTTTGTAGCTGGCACGCTAAGTTATGATCGGCAGATTCGTAGGGTATTCCCTTCTCCCCAGGTATGGCGGCTGCTCAGATTAGGGTGGGGCAGGACCAAGATGGGAGCAACAGCATCCACTTTCGTCCCTAGGAGACCCGGAATCCCTCGCTATCTACCTAGCAGACACAGTGGGCCTTCAGTTCATTCCTTGGGCCCCTGATTGACTCAGAGAAGTACTCTCCCAACTTAGTCTGCATTACCCTAGAGATTAATTAAGAGAGTTAGTGTAAGATCACAATGAAAATTTCATTGCTCATATCAGGTATTTATTTTACTTTATTTCATTTCATTTCATTTTTGCATTTCTCCGTCTTCTTGCAGTCTCCTGCAGGCTTCTGCTACTCTGTACATTCTCTCCAGGATTCCACACTTAGTCACTATGATTTGTACACACTGAGAAGTTGTTCCTTTAATTAATGCCCTGAGTCATTCTGTAGTGTGGAAATTATAACTATTACGAAGAACAGATGATCTATGAGTCAGAGAATTCTGCTGAAGAGAAACACAAAAAGAAACCTTTTCATGGAATAATAGTTAAAGAGGTAAAAAAAGGAGAGAGAGAGAGAGAGAGAGAGAGAGAGAGAAACAGAGAGAAAGAGAGCTCCTTGTTATCAATAACCCAATTTCTTGACTACCTCTGAGTTAAATTCAAAGGTAGGGTGGGAGGGGGTGCTCAATTCCATCCTAGTACCGGTGAGAAATTTTTTATGTCCAAGGTAAAAACCAAAAAGAGGAACTAAATGGAATTTTCTCTCTGCTAGGTTCAGACAACATCCCTGGAGATGTTCTTGTGACTAAATTTGTATGTTTAGACAGACTGGCAAAACATATTTTCCTTTTTATTTGAAGTGAAAGTTGAAATTAATAAAACTCATATTGTTCCATGTCTTCTCATAGACTCTCATAATTTGAGGTCTCTAGAGAAAACCACAAAAACCGCAGTGGTAAGAGAGGGATTTGGCACTATCATTAAAATGTTCGTTTTTAGACATTCTCTTTTTCTTGTCAAGCCCAGCTTTTTCATACATCTTCTAGTTCACCAATGTTAGTTTCATTTTCTCTTTCTTGTTATACAGTGATCAGTGAAAAAAGAAGCAGTAGGAGAGAAAATGAAGAGAAGTAATGGATCCCAATTACCTACACTTTTAACCTTTAGTGATGTGCCTCGTGATTAAATGAGATAATGTTGTATGGCAGGGTTTTGAAAAATCAGAGCTCAGTAAATGTCTCTTATTATCATAATTCATGATGCCAATCACAAAAGATAACATTATTATGATTTTTTGTTCCCTTACCCACATCTCATACATGAAGTTAAAAGAAGGCAATGTAATTCAGTGGAAAGAGAACTGGCTTCAAAGTGTGGACAATTTAGTTTCAATTATGTTGTGGATTACATGAATTAGTGCAATAGTGACATTTTTATTTGATTTTAATTCATAGCAATGAAATTTTTCTTAATTCTCAAAAAGAAACTAAGAAGACACTATAATTAACTTATAAATGAGTTTATTCTAGAAGAATAATCCTCTTCAAATAAACAGTACTAGCAGGGAGGAGCCAAGATGGCGGATGAGAAAAGCCGCCAGTCAGAAGGTCTCTGCAAAAAGGACGAATTTTAGAAGAAAGAGAAAAAAAATAAGCTAGCAGAGAAACATAGATGGGGTGAGGGTCGGAAGGAAGGGTGCCTGAAACTACAGGAGACTCCACGGGAAGACGTTGTGGAGGAGAACTGGAAGGAGAAATGTCTGCAGAGGCTTGGAGACCAGCGACAAGCGTAGGTGGAGCGGTTAACTTCCCCCTCCCTTGCATCTCGGACTGCTGGTGGCTCCTGAGCAGCTGGAGAGACCTGCCGACACCAGCCCAGAGACGGCTGCCGCCAGTGAGCAGTGGCCTCTTGCGGACTCAGCGCCAGGCTCCCAGCCCCCCGGGGGCACCTCCCCGGGTGCAGACCCGAGCCTAGCAGCAGATGCCATAGTGCTCCATTCTCTGCTTCCCCTTCCCTACCCGTGGGTGCCCAGAGACACAATTTAGCCATCACACAGAGGCATCTCCAAGGAACGGGACCTTTCTTTTTGGGGCCCTACAACAGACTGAGAGGTACTCAGACTGCGAGTTCCCTACCCGCCAGCCCGCCCAGGTGCTACTTGCCTGGGGACTCCAGGAGAGTGGGGAAAATCCCGAGGTGGAGTGAAATTGATCCAGCTTGGGCACCCTGTAGGTGATTCGGAACTAGCGCCTCTCCCCCTGGCAGGGTCAGGGATTGATCTCCAGGGTCCAGGGGTCAGGCCTGCAGACCAGACCCCATACACCCAGATCACGATCGCACTGCCCTGGGGCACGGAGGAGAGATCTGTGAAAGAGCCTACTGAGGAGTGTGCACCTTCAGGGGCAGATCAGCGTGCCTGACCCGCAGCCCTCCTCCTAAAAGAGGGCTGTGCACCCAGCTCAGGCTGCGATCCTGGTCAGGGAACCTCCCGGCCCACATCATGGCCAGGGGAGTTCCATTGGCCTGAGGTCCTGCCTGCTGGCAGAGGCCTGGGAGAGGCCACAGAGTGGGGGAGGGTGGAGGGGAGGGAAACTTGCTCGAGAGTGCGGGTCTTGGACAGCCCCACCCCCCAAGCCCAGACTTTTTAGCTGAGTGGAGCCATTTCAGCCCCTCTCCGCAGCTCTGCACAGAAGCAAAGAACAGACCTTTGACCCCTGCTAACAGCATTTCTGGAACTTGAGGGCAGGCTTACCTAACCCAACCCCACCCAGACTCACTCCCAGACCTGCCCCCACTGAGGTGGAGAATAAGGACACACCTGGAAGTCCTAGGGCCCCACCCACCACCCGAGGCACAAGAGGGCCTCTCCAGAGGAACAAGAGCTGGTTACAAGACCCAAAAACAGCACTGCAGCTCGCTCCTCCCAGCGAGTGCCACCTACTGACAGGGAGGTCATCCTCCACACCCTTTTACTGCATCTACTGATTCATCATAAAGGGTGTGGTCGAATCTCACCCACAAACACCTCCTACTGGCTCAGAGACTAAACAGGGCGTGTCATTATCCAAACAAAAATCTAAAGGCAAGAAGGAACAACTGATCGAGATGGGAAGGAACCAGCGAAAGAACTCTGGAAGTATGAAGACTCAAATGGAAAGCACACCCCCAAAGAGGAACAACAACTCCGCAGCAATGGACATTAAGCAAACTCAGAACACTAAAATGACAAAAGAAGAATTTCAAGCATGGATTGTAAGAAAACTGAATGATATGCAAGAAAAAATGGATAACCAA